CGTCACTTTCAACAGCTGTGTTCCCTACAAATGCCCTCCTGAGTTCCAGCTGCCCGCTTTGGGTTCAGGGCTGGTCACAGCCCTGTGGCTACAACATCCCCCAACCCACTTCGCCTAAGCTCTGCTCCAGCCATTCACCTCTCCCTGAGACACCCCGTTTCCCCCGCTGTGTGTTTACTGTGGGGTTCCTGAGGAACCTGGGTCCAGCACTGGTGTGGGGGGGGATAGGAGCTCAGCCCTGGAGTGACTGTCCCCCACCGTTCCCCCTGAACCCTCAGCTCCTCTGGGACCCCTCACTTGGCCCCTGGGCACTGCTCCCAAGGGGACTGAGTTTCCAGCTGCATTTCCAGTCCCTAGCTCACCTACTCTGTTGTGACAGGTTCCAGAGTCAGCAGGATTTCTCCCGGAAAAAACAGCCCCCGATCCAAATCCTCAGCCTCTCGGGTGAATGCATCTTAGAAAGGCGAAGGGGATGGAGGCGCGGAGGAGACAGGAGCTAGAGAGAAAGCCCCTTCCTGCCCTCTCTCCTGCCCAAAGCGGAAAGCACAATCCTCGGCGTCTCAGCTGAGTCCCTTCTCCAGGACTGTGGCTCCGTGGCTTCCTGCCAAGCTTAAGGACGGTGCTTTCTAGAAGCCAAAGCTTGTGCAGGTGCAGACGAGGGGTCCCCAGGACACCCCGAGGCATCTGCACAGGGCGGGGGGCCCTGCCGGGGGCTGCCCGCACTGTCTCCCACCTCCATCAGGCGCAAGGCCCCCGTGGCCCACATGTGTTTCTTTAAAGCTGGTGGTGGTTGTTGCTCTGCTTGGGGGCAGGGGTCACGCAGGCCAACCCAGGAGGTTTCCAGTCTAAGTAAAAGAGATGAAACAATTCAGTGGAAGAGAAATATCTGTCCCAGGAAATGAGACGGTACCTTAAATCTCAGGGGTGGGTGGGGGGAGGACACTGGCTTCTCTTATTCATTCTTTTTTTGCCCTGAGGGTCAATTCTCAACACAATCTTGTCACAGAAACCCTTTAAATGTGAAATGCTATCTTGGTACTAGTTGAAGGGCTCCAGTTAAAATGGAACATACCGATTTTAAATGGAAATGGCTGTCTGGCATTGACCCCCTTTGGAGGCAGAACTGTAGGCTTGCAGCAGCTTTCAGGATGGGAAGAGGGAGGCAGGGAAGACCCAGTCTGGTGCCTGCCAGCTTTTCCAGCATCGGCCATCGCCTTTGCTGCCCAGAGCTGGGGAGGCCGTGAACTCAGCCAGTGGGACCTAAGACATTATGCTCCATGCCTTGGAAAATTCCACTGTTCCCCTGTCGCCTCCTCCAGCAGCACTTACGCAGATGGCACCATGAGTAGGTTTTACCCCCAGCCTAGGCGACACCTTTGAGGATGAGATGCTGGGATGGCATCACCGACTCAGTGGACGTGAAACAAACTCCTGGAGTTGGTAATGGACAGGGAGGCCTGGCGTGCTGCGGTCCACAGGGTCGCAAAGAGTCGGACATGACTGAACAACACGGTGACACCTCCAGGGTGCCACGTGAGGTCCTCTTCCCGGCACGAGGGGGAAGGGAGGACAGCCTGTATAGCCGGACGCACCCAGGCAGCAGGAGTGCGTCCCCTTCCAGCACTCACTGCGGACCAGGGCGACGAGGGAGGCTCCTTCTCCATCGCCCGCTCACCCACAGGGCAGTGTGAGTTCGCTCTTCTTGGCAGGAGACGACGGACCAAGTCAGGGATTCAGGGCTCAAGGAGAGGTCAGTGGATAAGCAGCCTGTGAGCTGCGCCTTTTCGTGCAGGCCTCTCTAGGACCTGGCGCACGGAATGGGTCCTTCGCTCCCTCTGGAATTGTAGAAGCGTCTTGGATAGACGCCCCGCCCTGTGATACGAGGACAGGGTCACGGCTCCGAAGGCTCCAGGTGAGGCCCTTGCATCCTGGTAAGTTGATCAAGTTCAGAAGAAGGAGGGACTCAACTCACAGCTCAGCTGAAGACTTTGCTGTTTAAACCAGGACTGTCGGGTCTCATGGCAGGTCTGAGGGTGGGGCCCCGGCTTGTCTGACTCCTGGAGCAGATTGAGTGGACAGGGCAGTCCCCGGGGACCGGCTCCCAGGGCTCAGCCCACACCCAGCCCCACGAACTCAGCGATCAGGCCACTACATGTGGAAACGGAAGGGCCGGTGGCTGTTTGAATGCCAGGAATATGTCCCTGAAGTGATGCCAGGAATAGATCCAGGAATATGTCCCTGCAGAAGTGATGCTCTGGTGTCCAGGTAGACAGTCTGAGATGAAAAGAGGATGCCAGCCTCTCCTCCACTGCTCAGAGCTGTCCCTCACCTGGACCAGAGGAAGCAGGGGTGACACCCCGAAGGAGGGCAGCTTGGGGGCTCCTGGGGTGGGTCTGTCCACGTTGGAGGCCGCCGGGGCCTTCCTGCTGTTGCTTGGGAAACTTGCGTGAGCGGCTGAAGTGGGATACAACCACAGTGGGCTTTGCCTAGGATGGCTGGCAAGCCTCCCTCTGTGATGGACAGTGGATGGGGTGGGGGGAGTGGGGTGCAGCAGGCAGGTGGGGGGGCCAGAAGCCCACCAGCAGGTGGGCAGCCTCACCTGCAGGAAAGGATGACTCCGACGCCCAGCAGACACGGGTGATGGGCTCAGAGAACACGCCGGGTTTAAGCCGACGAGCCAGGGACCGAAACACGAGCTCAGCCCATGACGGTCATCACCGCGCGGGTCTGCAGTCTTCCCCAAGCGAGTGCCCGTCCCGGCCCCATCTCCTGTGACAACCTGTGATGGCCCCAGAGAAGCAACACGCTCAGCGCTTTCCTTTTCTGCTTTGTGCAGCAGAAGGGCCTGGAGGAGAAAGAAGGACGCGGACAGAAGACAATGCCCCGGGAGCAGGAGAATCCAGGAGGAGGGCTGCCCAGGACCAGGTGGGGAGGGGTGTTCGACGGGCTGCCTGTGCTCCGCTTGCTTCTGCATCTCCTGTGTTGCTTCTGAATGAGGCTTTTCTTTCTGAGCTGAGACCAAACACGCCCCAGGCTGGCGGCTGCGGGCTGGGAACGCAGCTTCTGAAAGGTGGGAAGCGCTTCCCCACCTCAGCACCTCCACCTGGACACTGGCGTCTCGCCAGGTGGATGTAGCATTCCTGACTTTGTGGGCTGGAGGTCTGTGTGCTCCAGGCAAGGCAGTGAAAATAGACGCAGGATGAAAGAAATAGGCTGTCAAGGAAACAGGCTGGAGTACCACCAGCCCATCTCCTCTCCCCAGGGACCAGTCCGCCACGAATCGATGGTAAGAGGGCTTTTTCCTTTCACTGGTTCAATCCAGTGCTCAAAATTCTGCCTCAGTTTCGTTTGCTTTAGGTTTAGACTGTGCTTTCAGGAACAACCATTTTTTTTTCTCCTAAAGTTAAAAATATCTTTCAATCTTACCTATTTGGTTGTAAATAGGAAACATACTTTCAAAAGAGGTACAAATGGTCACAGCAAAACCTCACCCCGCTTTTCTGTCCCAATTATGACCCCAACTTGAACTCTGACACCAGGCATGGGGTCAGGGCTCCATTCCCGCCAGGACGCCAGCCACCAGTGGGGACCTCAGAACACCCACACTCCTGACAATCTGTCCACAAACCTGGGGATTCCTATGACCCCCCTCAGGTTGGATGATCCTCTCGAATGATCCAGAGAACTCAGGAAAGTGCTGAGCTTACGATTGCCGCAAGTTGTATCATAACGGACACAAGCTTGGACCAGCCGAGAAGGGAGACACACGGGGCGAGGTCTCGGTGCGTCCCGAAGAAGAGCGCCGGGCCCTTTCCTGGTGGAGCCGGGGCATCACCGCCCTCCTGCACCGGCCGGGAAGCAGCACCGAGCCTCGGTGTCCAGAGTTCTCCTTGGCCTGTCAGTGCGCAGCCGGACTGCTGACCGCGGGCTCCATCCTGAGCTCTGCTCCAGGCCCCTTCCCTCCCCCAGGGCGAGGAGCAGCTAGCTCCAAGCCCCACCCTCTGCTCAGTCCAACCAATCGGGCGGCGGGTCTTCGAGAGACCAGCCCCGCCCCGAATCTCTGGGTCACGTGATTGGCATACCCGCTCCAGGGCCCGCCTTGTGTCTCACACACACTCCTGTCACTCAGGAAATCCTGTTCTTCATGATCTGATTCTCCAGACACCAGTTCTCCAACACAGAGGAGGCGGATATTCAGTTATCTTAGGTTCCTTCCAGAAGGACTGCATTTTTCCCAAGGCTAGCTTACTATCTTACATACATGGTTTGGAAATTTTTCGTAAATGTAATGACTTCATAGGTGAGTCGTTTTGTACCTGTGCGCGTGCTCGTGTTGCCAAACTCCTGGACTTGGGATCCTTGGCCCCCTACCACGTGTGCATTTGTGATTTGTCTCACTGTTCTGACACTAGCAGATGCCCTCTGTTGAGTCCTATATGCTTCTTCTCCACCAGTACGAGGTCTCATCTCACCAGTGCCAACTCAGCCTTTTTATTTTGCTCATCTTCTTTTTTAAAATGAGATGTTTATTCACCTATTTGGCTGCACAGGAATCTCAGTTGTGGCGTGGCGGATCTTCATTGCGTCGTGTGGGACCTGGTTCCTTGACCGGGGACTGAACCCGGGCCCCTTGCATCAGGAGGGCAGCGTCTTAGCCCCAGGTCCACCCGGGAAGGCACTGTTTTGCTCATCTTTTGTTCAAATTCTTACTCAGTTTTCAACTAGGTGGTTAGATTTAATTTTCTGGTTTTGCTTTTAATGGTGGTGGTGGAGTCGCTCAGTTGTGTCTGACTGTTTATGACCCCATGGACTGTAGCCCACCAGGCTCCTCCATCCATGAGATTTTCCAGGCAAGAGTACTGGAGTGGGTTGCCATTTGCTTTTTTTTTTTTCCCCAGGAGATGGTGAGTTTTATTTTGTCTTGTCTGGATAGAGGTTTGATTTGCTCTCGAATGTTCCAGGGTGGAGGGAGACTAGGAGAAAGCACAGAATGCAGAGGTCTATTCAGTGTAATCTCCCTCATTTTCATCTTCACCATCTGGCAAGAGCAGCATATTTGCTTGCAGACAGAACTGAACTTCGAGGCTGGATTTTCTTCAGCTTTCTTTGGCTCAGGTGCAGATCTGGAGTCATGATCCTTTTTGCCATCTTTCCTATCTGACTCCTTCCAGTGGTCTTTGTTCCCTCCATCTCCGGGACCACGGCTGGAGTTCCCACTTTGGCCTTTTGGGGCACTTACCCCATCTATTTTATTTTCATCTTTCCTTGCCTATCCCTCCTCAGGTGGTTGAGCTGGAACTACTTTCCCTCCACCACTTGTAGGGGACTGCTGCTCTGTGTCTGAGCTCTGAGATCGAGCAGGAGGGTTAGAACTTCGCTTCACCCAAGCATTCTCCTTTGGTGGAGGGGCTGGCATTACCTTTAGAGGCTGTTCAGGTTTGGGAGGCTTAGAAGTTGGAGACTGACAGTCTTCCTCTTTATTGGGGGTTTCATTTTCTAGAGACTTCTCACTCTCTCTTCTTCGTGCATTTCTGCCAAATGTGGCTGAGGTCCCAGTCTGTGATGACTCACTTCCTGTCCTCGATCGTTCCTGTTCCTGAGTTTCTTCACTTTGCCAGCTTGGGTGCCTCTCCCGAGGCCGTCGTTCTAGTTTTGGCTCATCCAGCTGATGCTGCAGTCTCTCTTGTTCCTTCTGTAGCCGCTCTTCTACTTCTCGTTCTCCAGCAGCTGTGTCAACAGGCTTTGCCCCTCCAAAGATAGAGGCTGCCCGACTGGACTGGGAGGTGCTAGCGGAGGAATCATCTTCCTTAGGAGTGCTCCGAGGCTTTAGGTTCAGTTTGGGCCTTTGGGGGGGACCTCTATTATCCCGCCTATAATCATCCCGAGAGTAATCATCTCTGGAGCTCTAGGACCGGTCATCTCGTCTGTCCTATCTGTCTTCATAGCGGTCCCCGCCTCCTCTGTAGTCATCATCCCTACGGTACCCGCTACCGAACGCTCTTCTGCCACTGCCTATCCTGGAATCGTAGCCTCTGTCATAGTCTCTGCCACCTTGGTCATCATAGTGATCTCGGCCCCCGTATCGATCCATGTCCCGGCATGGGCCATCACGGTAACTGTCCCGATACCCATCATGATATCGGTCTGAATCGTAACGATCTCGATACTTGTCTCCAAAGCTATCATCACCCCTTCTAGGCGGGTAGTCATCAAAGCTGTCTGCAGCAGGACGGGCCCTCCAGTCGGTATCTGTTTTGTCAGTATCACTATTTCTATCTTGGCCAAAAGAATGATCATCCCTGTCTTTATCCTGTGCTCGATCAGCAACGTCCACTCGAATTCTCCTGTTACCTAGAGACTCTTCGTTGAGGCTCAGGGCACTGAGCAAGGAATCCAGGTCCTCAAACTCAGCATAACCAAAACCTTTTAACCTTTCAGGATTGCTGGGTTCAGGCGGTAAATGCACCGCACTGATATTTAATCCTCTAAAGAATTCCTTAATGGAGTCTTCTGTCACATTATAGGGCAGGTTCCCTAGAAAAGCAGTGTAGGGTGGAGATTTGGGAAGATGGCTCCGGTCGATACTGGGTTCCCGAGCAGCCCGTGGAGCAGTGGGCAGGATGGAACGGTCAATTGGAGGTGCCTGATACACTTCATCATCATTACTATGCCAAGTGGTTGAAACATCCCCTTCCAGATCGTCTGTTTCATCAGCCCAGCTGACTGGTTTGGGGACATAGGTGCTGCCTCCACCAGTCCCTCCATCCTCAGCCAGAAAGTCTGTCAGGGAGATAGCCTTCCCCTTCTTATTCTTCTTTTTCACTGAGGCCGCCATGTTGGGAGAGGGAGAGAGAACGCAAAGGTGCCATTTGCTTTTAATAGCCTTTATTTTTTAGAGCGATTTTATGCTCACAGCAAAACCGAGCATCATGACAAAGATTTCCTGTATTCCTTCTGCCCCTCAAATGCAGTCACCCCTCTTTATCAGCACCCCATTCACTATCTGTGTGTCTGGTTTACTGTTATAGCTGGTGAGCATGCATCACATGTGGTCACTGTCCAAAATCCGCCGTTTGCATTGAGGTTCACTCCTGCTCTGGAACATGCCACGGGTTTGGATAAGTGTGCAGTGACGTCATTAGAGCATCATCCAGAACCATTTTGTGGCCCTAACAATCTTCTGTTTTCTGCCAATTGATTTTATTTTATTCTTTTTTGGCTGCACCGCGTGACTTTTGGGCCTTAGTTGCCCATCAGGAAAGAAACCTGCGCCCCCCGCAGTGGAAGGGCAGACTCTCAGCCTCTGGGCGGCCAGAGAAGTCCTGGTTTCAATTTTTCCATGATTACAGGGGTGCTTGCCCTCTTCTTTTATGATGTGGGGGCGGGAATGGCTAGAAAGGCTTGCCTCACTCTACAGGCGTGTAATAAACACTCTCTGGTAACTTATTCTAGTATTTTTATGGTTTCCTTTCTTTTCTCTTTTTTTTTTTTTTACTATTTATTTATTTAGCTGTACCAGGTCTTTGCTGTGGCATGTGGGATCTAATTCCCTGACCAGGGATCAAACCCAGGCCCCTTGCACTGGGAGTGTGGCATCTTAGCCACTGGACCACCAGGCAAGTCCCTATGGTTTCCTTCCTTAATCCGTCAGGACCGTCCCCTCTGTGATGTACATCCCAAGATGGTTCACTGGACGGTCTCTTACTGCAAACACCACCTTCCCCGTACCCTCAGGCTGGCCTGTGGAAAGCTCTTTCTGGCCACGTTCGAAGCACAGGCGGATGGTCCGAGGGATGCAGGCACACCCAGCAGGACTTTGAGCAGCTGAGTGGCCAAAAGGATGCCCCTCAGAGCAGGTGGGGGTGGGGGGAGGTGGCAAGGAGCAGCCTGATCCAGAAATATTTGGGGGACAAAATCAAGGGAGTTAATAAGGAATCAGATATGGGGCCTGGGGGAGCAGTGGGGGTGAGGGACGACTTCCTGGGGCTGGGCTGTGTGAGTGCTGGACCTGCAGGTACAAGGAAGCTGGGTCTCCGCTGCAGATCCAGGCCCCTGTGGCTGATGGAGAAGGGCCGGGCCGCACAGGGCCTGGGGCTCTCTCCCCTTCTGCGGCTCCTCTGCCCTCCTGGAGTTTACTCAGGACCCGGTCCCAGACCCCGTCCTCCTCTCTTCCTATAGTCTCCGCTGCAGATCCAGGCCCCTGTGGCTGATGGAGAAGGGCCGGGCCGCACAGGGCCTGGGGCTCTCTCCCCTTCTGCGGCTCCTCTGCCCTCCCGGAGTTTACGCAGGACCGGGCCCAGACCCCGTCCTCCTCTCTTTCTATAGGCTCCGCAGCCTCAGCTCTCACTCCCCAGGCCACGTGGACCCAGTCCAGCTTACTGATGGGTTGCTCTAGGATGGAGTGCTCCCCTTTTACGAGCAGCTGGGTCCAGGAGCCAGGGGTCCTTGCTGTTGCTATTTCTGTTCTGGGACCAACAAGCTTCCCTGGGGTGGGGGGAATCACCTCTCTGCTCTTTCAGTTAGGGATTTCACTCAGCTCTCTACCAACTTATACTAAAAGTAACAATGGCTTAAACCTGGTGGACATGAACTTTTCGCTTATATTGAGGGAAGGCCCAAAGTCAGCAGTTATGGGCTGGTGTGGACATCAGCATCAGGATCCAAACTCCTGGCGTCTTGCTCTGCTTTTCTGCCTTGAGGCTGCCTCAGGGCCCAGGAGGCCTGCAGGAGTTCCAGGCATCAGATCCACATTCCAAAGAAGAAGCAAGAAGAACAAAGGAGAGGCAAGAGGGACCCAAGGTCGCTGTCTTCCTGCTTTTGAGTTTTTCAGAAGTCCTGCTTCCCCCCAAGCCCTGCTTACATCTCACTGGCCAGAAATTAGTCCAGTGTCCATACCTAGGAGCAGCGCAGCTGGGAACTGGAATCTCTAAGCTGGGCACACTGCTGCTCCGTTTAAAGGTAAAGTCAAGGTCCTATGAATGTAAACAGTGCATGTGAGCAAATGGCTAAATCTCCCTTAGGTGATACCATGGGAGGGAAAGGTGAATATCAGTTCAGTTCAGTCACTCAGTCAGGTCCGACTGTCTGCGACCTCATGGGCTGCAGCACGCCAGGCCTCCCTGTCCATCATCAACTCATGTCCATTGAGTCGGTGATGCATCCAACCATCTCATCCTCTGTTGTCCCCTTCTCCTCCCACCTTCAGTCTTTCCCAGCATCAGGGTCTTTTCCAGTGAGTCAGTTCTTCCCATCAGGTGGCCAAAGTATTGGAGTTTCAGCTTTAGCATCAGTCCTTCCAATGAACGTTCAGGACTGATTTCCTTTAGGATGGGCTGGTTGGATCTCCTTGCAGTCCAAGGGGCTCTCAAGAGTCTTCTCCAGCAACGCAGTTCAAAAGCATCAATTCTTCGGCACTCCTCCGAAGGTGACTATAATAAGAGGCTATGTTTATCAGAACCAAGCCCAGCTCCTTGGGCCCAGATGACCGGGCACAGCTGGGGCCAAGCAATGGTCTGCAGGGCCACGAGGTGACTGGGCGCTTGGGGGGACAGGCAGGGAGCTGAGCCGCCGACACCCTGTGAGGGAAGCGGAAGGGGGGCCCTTGCTGTCGGAGAAGGGGTTTGGTAACGCCACAAAGGGAGAAGGTTATAAAGAACCTGAGGCGCTGGACTGGGTTGGATATGGTATCAACTCATCCATCTCGATGTAGACGTGTGTGCACTGGGGTGAGTGTGTCTATACGTGTGCATGCTAACTCGCTTCAGTCGTGTCCGATTCTTTGCGATGCCATGGACTGTAGTCTGCCAGGCTCCTCTGTCCATGGCATTCTCCAAGCAAGAATACTGCAGTGGGTCGCTGTGCCCTGCTCCAGGGGATCTTCCCAACGCAGGGATCGAACCCGTGTCCCTTACATCTCCTCTATTGGCAGGCGGGTTCTTTACCAGTAGCGCCACTTGGGTGTACAGTGATGTGTACTTAAATCTCATCTTTCTCCCAGACAGTCTGGGGGCAGTGACACCCCAGTAGCAATGAAGAGTGAGTACCTCAAACTTGGTCTCCCAAAACGTCTTCTCCAGTCAAGGGTGCCCGGCCCCTAGAGGAATGGCGAGTCCGCGAGGCGAGTGTCCCTCCTCCCCCGCTCCTTCCCTTCGCCCTTCTTTTTTCTCTCTTTCATCTCTCCCACTCCCCCCATCCCCCCGAAATACCCCCCAGTTTCACCTTCAATGGCCCAGCATCCTGGAGACCAGGTGCTCAGAAGCACGCTACAGAGCTGGCATTTTCTGCTCGCTCAGAGAAAGCAAGGATCTGGGGAATATGGAGGAAATTATTCCGATTACTTGGAGGAAATTAAAAAAAACATTTCCCTCACTGAACCAAGGCGCCATCCTTCTTTCTCCACCACCCTCTGCCCGCAGCCTGCAGCTGGGTTTGGGTTGACAGGCGGGCAGGGTGTGCCTGGGGCCCAGTTCCCCACGGGCCTGCACCTGGCCGCTTTTCCTAAGGGGTTTGCATGAGACTCATTTGCAAAAAAAAAAAAAAAAAAAGGATGCCCTGCTGATGTTTAAGGCAGTTCCTGTTAAAATGTAAATGTGATGCTTAATTCATCCGCCCCTTTCAGGCTTGTGGGGTGAGTGGGACAAGGTGGGAAGAAATTGGATTGATGGAGGGGACTGGGAGACAGGCCTGGGGCGGGGGGTAGGACCAGTGTCCCCACAGCCTGGGAAGGGCTGGGACACTCCTGGGGCCTTCTGAGAATGCCCAGGAGGACATGCCTTTTGCCCGTTGGAGCAGTGTTGGGAGCAAGGCCCTCCAGGGCCAAGTGACCCAGGGCACCTCACATCTTTGCTGCAGGGTGATGGTCTGCACGCAGGGGGTGTAAGCACAGGTGACCTGGCTCATGGGGCCTCCTGCCCAGGGCTGGGGCGAGGGGACCCGGAGAGGGCGTGGGGACCCAGGGCTGGGACACAGGCGGGAAGGAGGTGGGATTCCTGGAACGGGATGGGGACCTGGGGTGGGGTTGGAGGCTGGGGCAGGGCTGGGGCGGGGCCGGGGCGGTGGCCTGCCTGGCAGAGGAGGCAGCTGTGTGCACCGGGATGCGGGCACAGGTGTGGCGCCCAGGGCGGCTGGTCTCCCAGGTGACCGGTCTCCCAGGTGACCAGGGCGGCCAGGCATCTGCTGGGTCTCCCGGCGGGACACTCAGAGGCCAGAGGGCGTGGAGAGGAGGCAGTGCAGGCATGGCGCGCTCGCTGCGGCCCATGGCCCTGCTGGTCATGCTGGCCTTGCTGGAGGGGCTGCCGGCGGCCCGGGACCCCCAGGAACCGGACATATTCTGTGGAGGTGAGTGTGGGGGTGCGGCACAGGCCGGGCATCCCCGTGGCTGGACAGTCCCCTGGCACCCCAGTGGGAAGCTCTCTGGGTTCCCACTGAGCCCTGGCCCGGGCTCAGGTCCAGAAGTTATGGCAGCGGCTGTGTAACCTCTTCCAGCCCCGCTGTGAGCATGGGTGCTCAGTTCCTGTTTGTGGGCCTTGTTTTGGGGCAGAACCTTGGGGCATCTGCAAGGAGATCCAACCAGTCCATCCTAAAGGAAATCAGTCCTGAATATTCATTGGAAGGACTGATGTTGAAGCTGAAATTCCAATACTTTGGCCACCTGATGCAAAAAGCTGACTTATTAGAAAAGACCCTGATGCTGGGAAAGATTGAAGGCAGGAGGAGAAGGGGACGACAGAGGATGAGATGGCTGGATGGCATTACTGATTCGATGGATATGAGTTTGAGTAAACTCCAGGAGTTGGTGATGGACAGGGAGGCCTGGTGTGCTGCAGTCCATGGGATCAGAGTCAGACATGACTGAGCG